TATCTACAGCACCAATATACTTTATTATTGTTGTAGATATAATACCTATTACTCTTGAATATAAATTTTATAGTACCTACCATTTTTTTAAATTTAAAATCCATGTTAATACTATAATAAGTAATAATCGATGAACGAATAATAATAATTGTCTACATTGTTGACACTGTTGACAGTCTGCAAAAAAACCAAACTATAGTTAAGAATTTATACTAGGAATACGCTGAAATTGCAGTCAGTAAATTCCAGATGTTTATAAGTACAACAAAAAACTGTTCGAAATCATGAATAAATTAATGGTTATCAAAAGATTGTAACAGTGAAGCTTATAAAACGTTATATAATTTATTCAAAATTCCACTATAGAAAAATATAAAATTTTATGATTTTTCARCTTCAAAATTACTTGCAAATTTTCGCGTTTTCGACATATTTCGTAAAAATTTGAACTATAAACGCTTATAAAAAAAATTGTGACTAACGATTTTTAATTTTTTTTAGCTACAATAAGAAAAACTCACAAGGATCCTTTTATTAAATTTTCAAGTTTTTTTGGTCGTCCAACATTTTTTTACCGACACTTCAAAAACAAAATTCTCAAAAAAATCGAAAATTTCAATAGTCTATAAATAACTCAAAAAAAGTCAAAACTATTTGAAAATTTTACTGTATATATATATATATATATTTAACATTAAAATTTGGCGAAAATTTCAAGTATTTACAGTGATYAGTTTTTGAATTACAACCATATAAAAATATCGGTTTGGTCGAAAACTGGTTTTGCGTAAAAATTCCAGTTTTTCTGTCATTTTTTTTTGTTTTTCTCGATTTTTTTAAAAACTGTTGGAAAATTTTTACTTTTGACCTCTATAATGCACCAAGGATCTTCAATTTTACATCGGAAACCACCCCCAAAGTTTTATCGTATATAATGTGTAGGTATATATCTGTATAAGAATCTTAATAATATAATATAGTAATAGGTACCTATAAATTATAACATTATTGTTCGAACGCGGAACCGCTTTGCCACGGATATTACAAGTGGCGATTTATCGAAGTTCAGGGCAAACTCCCCCCTCCATTTTCCAGTGACAGTACGACGGTCGGTAGCCAAGTCGCCAGCCACCCCGTCGATAAAATGTTGTCTTTTCCTGGTGGTGGTCGAAGAGGACTTCGGTCGACGCGTATTTTATGCTAAGTCGTCGTAGCTCAATTAATCGTGGTAAATAAGAAATCATTCTTTTTTTAGTATATCATAAATTATAGGTTTTTCTATTGAACGTAATTCGAATGTTTTATGTAACGTCACAGACATTTATATGGACGGGACTTTTAATGTCTGCCCTAAATACTTCACTCAACTTATTACCATTCATATGGATTTAAAGATGACGTATATGTACCACTTGTATTTTGTTTTGCTACGCAACAAATAAAAAACCACTTACGACCTAACGTTAAAATATTTTGTGATCACTGTAGTTTGCATGGTATGACACTCGCACCTCTTTAAGTATTTATAGATTTTGAGATTGCGATTCAAATGACAGTAGAGAGCGTATGGCCATTGGCCAACATCACAAATATGAGGGTGCAGATTTCATCTAGCCCAAAATTGGTGGCGGAAAATTCAAAATCTAGGCCTCTCGATGATTTACAAAGTTTCTAGTTCAGAAAATAAGAACGGCAATTTTTTGAATAATTATTTGGCCTTCACTTTTTGAACCCAATAGAAGTTATAAGCGATTGCTTTACAGACGAGTTGATGACAATTCGACCAAAAGACAACGAGATAGTTGAAGAGTTCACGGACTAAGCATTTAGCATTTGATAATTAAATTTCCCCAGAATCAAATTTTCTACCAAGTATATTCATCAACGGAATTTTACTTGTTCTTTACATTACCGGTTACTGTGGTGAGTGTGGAAAGGACATTCTCAAAACTTAAACTAATTAAAAATTATCTAAGAAGCACCATGTCCTAAACACGGCTTAGAGGTCTTGCGATGATTTCGATAGAAAAGGAGCGTGCTAAAAAATTGAACTTATTGTCATTAGTGAAGACGTTTGCTCAAGACTAGAGCAGAAAAAAATAATTTTCATTGTAAATGAAGTATAATTATTACTATTTCCGAAATTATAATTCAATAAATTATTAATTTACTATAAATTTATATTTTTAGATTCTGAGCGGAGAGAACCTAACCTAACCA